TTAATTTGCTTATACATGGATTTCCTATTCAGTTGAATGCACAGAACTAGTCTTTAAATTGTTAACTGCACGGAAGATTCTGTTGTATAAAAGTGAGCACTCTTGCTCTATCACCCTTGCTCACTTCAATGATTACATTGCTCCTGACTGCAAAGTCACTGCTACTCATTATATATAATTACATAGAATTTTATAGCAGGGTGTCAAGCTGGCTCGATTGGTACTCTGAGTCAATGTCTTGACGTGAGACTTGAATCTTCTGACTCAGAGGCAAGAGAGCCTCTGAGTCAGAAGATTCAAGCCCCACATCAGGCCATTAAACTCATAGTCTAGGCTGACAATATAACCCAGTATTGTTTGAGTTGCCATCGTTCAGGTGAGACGTTAAATTGAGGTTCTGTCTGCTTGTTCAACTAGACATTAAAGATCCCATTGCACTACACAAAAAAGAGAATGGAGTTTCTCCCAGTGTTCTGGCCAATAATCCTCCAGATAAAATTGGTCATTTTGTTTGTGGGACATTGCTGCCACATTTGCCTATAAATACACAGTATAATATGCACTATAATTCACAATAAGATTACATATGCACTTTGACACTTTTCAACAATGTAATAGAACCATAGAAATGTACAGCGCAGAAGAAAGTCATTCGGACCATTGTGAATGTGTTGTCTCTTTTAAAGAGCAATCATTTCAGTCTCATTTGCCTACGATTTCTCCCCTGATACCCCTGGAGGTTACACCATTTTAGATATCTATTTACTTCCCTTTTAAAAACTAATATGGATTGTGTCTCAACAACCAGAATGGCATTCCATATCCTATCTGTGCTTGAAACATTTTTTACAAGATCTGAAACAATTTTTCACAAGATTAATAAGACATAGCATATGAATTTGAAAAACAGCAAGCAGCTACCTGAAAAAAATCACTTTGATTTCAGAAAAAAAACTAACACGGTGATAATCACCTTAGGTCTTTTTATCTCAGCATCAAATTAAATAAGAGCTACTAAACTTCTAAAATAAACTAATCACAAACAGTCAATTAAAACAAAACAGCCTCTAGGGAATGATTCTCAGCTGGTTGCTGGTTGCCAATCGTGTTGGTGTGAGTTTATGATTAGATTTTCCAATTACAAACTCCCATCACTGGCGTCGGTAAATTTAACAAGCAGTGGAGAATCAGCCCCTGGATATCAGTGAAACATATGCTGGGGATATGAGCTTCTGTCCCCACTCCCCGCAGATGAACCTGAAGGGTATAGATGAGATAATTATTGTTAAAAACGTAGAACAAGGTGACTCAGACTCAAGATCAGCAGTTCAAATTTAATTATTTTACACAGAAAGTGGCAAATAGAGTAGCCAGGGAGACAAATTGTTAGCAAATTTAAGAAGGAATTAGGTAGCTATTTGAAGAAAAATTCAATTGAGGGTATGAGAGTTAGAATTGTATAGTTTTTTTCTAAATTTGTATTTAAACTGAGACTCACCAGATGTACTATAATAGTCTTTTCTGTCCTTGAACATACTTATGTTGTTGTGTTCCTCAAAGGTGAGCTGTGCAGATTTAGCTTCCAGTTAAATTTCAGCAATAGTACATTGCCAGTTTTAGATCAGCTCTCCCCAATTGGGCCTAAGGTCTCTGGAGTTAGACAAGCAGGTTGTATTCCTCTGGGCAGAAAGTACACACTTCATTCCAGACAAACAGACACTGTGCATGTGTGGAACTCTTAGTCGTTTTTTGAGTTGTCTCGAAGATGTGTTTACAACAACAACAACGACAAGATTTCATTTATAGAGCGCCTTTCACGTCGGGAGGACGTCCCAAGGCGCTGGACAGTTGGGTCAGGACCCGAGCAGGGGGGGGAAATGGTCAGGGTGAGGGGAAGGAAGGGAGGGAGCGAGGAGGGGGTAGAGAGTCGAGAGGGGAGCTGAAGGCACAGTCAAAGAGAAAGGTCTTGAGACCGGCCTTGAAGGAGGAAAGGGAGGAGGCGGCGAAGGCACTGAGGGATAGAGTTCCAGAGCCTCGGGGCTGAGAGGCTGAAGGCCCGGCCACCGATGGTGGGGCAGTTGGGGCGGGGGACGTGGAGCAGACCGGAGCCAGAGGAACGGAGGGTACGGGCAGGTAAGTAGGGGGATAGGCGCTATATCAAATGCAAGGATTATTATTATAGTTTTGGTCTGGAGATACTTATGTATGGGTGCTGTGCAGGTCAGATACTCAGCTGACTAAATAATAATATATAATAATAATGATCCTTGCATTTGATATAGCGCTGTTCACGTCTTCTCGATGTGTCAAAGCGCTTCACAGAATATACTGTAAAGTGAATTGACCGGATATTTGTGGGCGAAACGCGGCAGTCAATTGCGCACAGCAGTGTCCCATAAACAGTCGTGGATTGAAAATGACCAATTTATTATTGTTTTGTTTTGGAGGGATTATTATTAGGCGTGTGGAGTAAGGAAATTTGCCCAAGATTTCGCCCTCTGCCTGGAATTAAACCCAGGTGTCCCGCTTGCAAGGCGAGTGCTCTAACCACTGAGCTACAGGACTCCAATAAGAGTCTAGAATCATAAAAATTCTGGCACAGAAGGAATCCATTCAGCCCACCAAGCCTAAGGTGGTAGTAGCTATCTGCTCTAATGGAACTATTTACTCCAATTCCAATTCACCACTTTTTCTCCGTACTCTTTATTGTGTGCCTCGTAATTCCACTTTACAGTATATTCTGTGAAGTGCTTTGAGACGTGTCAACGGTGTGATAACCTGCTATATCAAATGCAAGGATTCTTAGTATAATTTATGCAAATATCTTAATAATAATAATAATAATAATCCTTGCATTTGATATAGCGCTTTTCACGTCGGGAGGACGTCCCAAAGCGCTTCACAGAACACACTGTAAAGTGAATTGATTGTATATTTGTGGGCAAACGTGGCAGGGATTATTATTAGGTGTGTGGAGTAAGGAAACTTGCCCAAGGTTTCACCCTGCCTGGAATTGAACTCAGGCCTCTCGCTTGCAAAGCGAGTGCTCTAACCACTGAGCTACAGGACTCCACAAATCTTATAAATGTTATGATGGTGTCAGCTTCAGTAATCACTTGTGGCAAACAATATACGTTTAATTTAAAAATATATAAAAAAACTAGAATACAAAAATAGAGCAAGTTGTCTTTGGCCATCCTAATTTCTGCTCTGCTGTTCACTTCCAACACGTGTAGAAGGATAAACATTTCTCCTCTGATCATTGCCCATTTGTATTCAGACAATATGCACATTCTCATGAGTAGTTGCTCTTAGGTTCACCTGTGTTAAATACTCACATGTAAACAGTGCAAAATAATTCCAAACTACCCTTAACACAAGTGCTGTGGAACAGAAGATTTGCGTCAAGATTTGTATGTAGACCTGATGCAGTCACCTGCTTTCTCTGTGCTAAACAAACCAAGAGCAGCCCAGTACCTGATTAGATTCTGAACAGCTGTAAAGTTATGCCCCTGAAAACCCTATGAAGCGCTTTGATGAAGTAAACCCTATGAAGCGCTTTGATGACATGATACGGTGCTAAATCAACTGTAAGGATTAATAATAAAAAACAAAACAATTTTAATAAGTATAAACAGCTGATATTTAGTTAGGAGTGAGTCTTTGAATACTATTGAATTTTTAATTTCACTTAATACAAATTAAATTGGTTCAACTGTATCAAATGTAAGGATTATTATAATTAGTAGTATTGAAGGCTCAAGTGGGTCTATAGATTTTTTTTTCTCCTCGGAGTAGTAGATATATGAAACAGATTAATAATAATCCTTGCATTTGACATAGCACCTCTCACATCGTTAAGACATATCAAAGCGAATCACAAAGCGAATATTGTAAAGTCGAGTGACTACTTTGCAGGTGAAACGCGGCAGCGAGTTATGCACAGCAATGTCCCACAACCAGCCATGGAGTGAGTGACTAATTTTTACTTGGAGGGTGTGGGGGTGATGTTGGCCAGGACAGCGGGACAAACTCCCTTTTCTTTTAGTGCCATAGGATCTTTGACTGACATCTGAACAGTCCTGAACAGTCATGGAGTCCTGTAGCTCAGTGGTTAGAGCACTCGCTTTGCAAGCGAGAGACCCGAGTTCAATTCCAGGCAGGGCGAAACCTTGGGCAAGTTTCCTTACTCCACACAGAGCCTAATAATAATCCCTCCAAAACCAAAAACAATAATAAATTAGTCAATTTCAATCTACGACTGTTTGTGGGACATTGCTGTGCGCAATTGGCTGCCGCGTTCACCCACAATTATACAGTCAATTCACTTTACAGTGTGTTCCGTGAAGCACCTTGGGATGTCCTCCCGACGTGAAAAGCACTGTATCAAATGCAAGGATTATTATTATTATTATAACAGATAAGGAAGAAGGGACTTTGTTTAACGTCTCATCCAAAAGACGGCGCCTCTGACAATGGAATACCCTCCCACCCTCAGCATTGCATTGGAGTGTTAGCTTAGACTATTGAGGATATAGCTGCAGCCTGGGAGGTAGAATTACAGGACAGTGGGTTCTGTGCTGGTGGGGCTGGGGAAGAGAGCATGTTGGCTATGAAGGAAAGAAGAGAGAGCTGAGGGAATTGATAAATATTTTGGAAGTTTTGAAGGGGATCAAGGAGTATAGTATCTATGCAGAACATTCACTAAAGAGTGTGTGAAGTGGAATCCATGATAGGATTGCTTTTAGACATTCTGTGGAATGAGTGAGTTCTATGAGCTGAATGCCCGTTCCTCATTCTATTGCAAACAATGAAAATCGGACTGAATTTGTGAGAACTAGACAAACGCACAGAGAGCTTCATGCAGATAGCACGAAAACATATTATTGTGCTGCTGAGGTCACCACTCTCAAATCTGTGGTACTTTACGTGTAAGAGGCATTAAGATAACAAACTAAGCTCTTGTGAAGAATAGTAAGCAGATCTTTGTAGTTACTTACCACATCATATGCAGTCACTACCTTCCTCAGAACTTCTGGGATCACTCCTTGGGGCTCCATTGCTGGATAATCAGCTTTTAGATTCAATACTACGATAGGAACATGATCATTGCTCAGCAGGGTGGACAGGGCCATAATGCATTGTAGTAGATTAGAAACCGGGGACAGGCCACACAATTCCTTGAATGAAACTATTGCATTCTGGAAAGAGAAAATAAGAAAATGTTACATTAGCAACTTAAAACTGTGAATAATTATTTGACACTGTGCTTACTGATAACATTATCTTGTACAATCCACCAACAATACACTGAGGTGATATTGAACATGTTTGTTACTTCCAACAGCTGTTTATGGATTTTTAAAAAAAAACGTGCTATTTGTGACTCATTTATACCTTTGATAATGGTTTATGATGTTTAAATGAAAACAATGGAGAAATATGTGTCTGTTTCTGGCATCCAGTCTCAGCATCCAGCTATCCAGTCCAAGTAAGCCAGAGGCAAATGCAAAGCAAATAACCTTCAACCCAGCCGCAACCTCTCCATTTTCCATTGTAAAATAAAGTGGTCTTTAATCCAAATTTCAATCTTTTTTTTATAAAAAGCATTTCTGTGGATTCTCAAAGTGAGATTACCAATTACAGTAATTCACAGCAGTTTTGCATTGTGGACCCACACTTACTGGAACCTGACTTGCGAATGCCCAAACTCATTTTACATAGGAAACGTCAAAGCCAGCTGAGAGATGATGCGTCAATCTAGGCTGGATTTCAACAAGTTGGAGAAGTGAAAATATTGTGCTACCGAGCCATCCTGTCCTCTATTATTTATTGTATTTTAATTGATTGATCAATTCCAATATTACGTTGTCAAGCATGTCACCTTGGAGCCAGTTCAGCATCAAGGAAACCCTGCTTAGCTCCCCCAACACCCCCTCAAGAAAGATAGTCTTGATTTGTTCATTTGACATTGGACAAGCAGATTTTTGCTGATTTTATGAATGTGTGTTCACAAACTCAAGGTAACACCTGCAAGTAGTTGTGGTCCTAAACCTCAGAGTTTCCTCATCAGCTATCTGACAGACTTCTGCCTTTAGCATGGTAGGACTACTTTACAAGACAACTTGTGACGTTCAGCCACCTTGATGTTTAGGTGACACACAAGTGTGGACTTCTCAGTTTGGTTTAGATACTCTTAAGCATGGTGACAGATTTCCACATGTTTCAGACACCTAGCTGACCAAAAAAGAAATAAAAGATGGTGTTACTCCTACGTAATAAGCCAGTCAATAAATTGATGCCTATGGGATCAATAGGTATCAATTTATTGCGCTCTGGGATGCTATCCTGTGTGAAGGGCGGTATATAAATGCAAGTTGTTGTGTTATGTTTCAATATCTGCTAGGAGAAGATTCACAAATGGTCACAATGTTGTAGTGAGAGTTACTGAGGGATAGATTGAAATGAGTTTCTTGGATGCTTGTTTATTTACTATCCTAATGTTGTGCTCACATGGTGAGGGGCAGATATGGGATATGTACAGTCTTAATCATTTGAACAATCAAAGCTATTACAGGCTTAAATATCTCAGTTGCTTTCCTCATGCTTTAATAACATAGTGTTATCCTACCACTTAACCTCACTATGTAAAGATTCCATGTCTCTCTGTATTTTGATCACAATGCATAAGTTATACAACAGTGGTCACAGTTGTTTTTTGACAGGCTTCACAGTTAAAGCCCAGTCCAATCTAGCAGCTGAGATTGAAGACACCAACTTCAGATCCCAATGGTCGACCGATTCACCTCCTACTGCTGTCAGACACTCAAAAGTTCTCTGCTCAGCCAGCATAAGTGAGAACCTTGTAGGAGTTCAGATGTTACCGCAGGAGGATGTCAGTATTTCCCAGCTACATCTTGCAATCCTCTATTCTCACACATACCCCAGCACTTTTTACGTGAGAGAGTGGAGTAAATGGGATGCAAATTGCATTGGATTTATTTGGATTTACTGGAGAAAAATGGGTGAGATACATGCAGTGAAACAATTACTGAGTTCAAACAAAATTGCAGGTACATTTCAGCAAATCACAAATTTGACAACACTTCTTATTTAGCCTTGTGCTAACTGCACTTTATTTGTACCCCTTGTAAGGATAGAATTGGTCAGATGCGTGCTCAGATAATGAACCATTCATGCAGCCAAACCAAGAGTATCATTCAATGAGTTGTAATGTTGGACACTAAGAATGTCTAAAGTCACACATATTCTGCTGTAGATTTTAACAGAAAGAGTTAGAATATGAGAATGAACATAATAACAGAATCCAAGATGCACTGATTGTAAACACTGGCAATTGTTTTGCTGTGGTACTCTGAAACCTAGCACTCAGACCCGGGAGTAACATTACAGCAGCTAAGAAACTTTGCAGCTCAGATTTTCAGCATGAAATAAGATACTTACCCAGAGGGTATTTTTTTAAATTATAGTTTTTTTATATTTTAATTAAAATCGGTGAGCTTTATTATTACAACTCACTCTGAATGCACTGAGACTATTACATATTTCCTTTGAAGAATGTATTGCCAGGAGACTTAGGGTGGGATGGCGGTTCAGAAATACATGGCTCAAGCAATCAGGGTTCTTGTTGCATTTCATCCTTTGCAATTAGTTTAATTTTACATATCATTAATGGTGGAAGCACTATTGATGAATCCCATCTACACTATCTAGTATTATCTTCTGGAAAAATCAATGAAATAACCAGAATAAAATAATTTTTCCACTCGCAAGAGATCCAGTCTCATCCCACCATACCTCTGACAACAGTCCTTCCCCATCCCTCCCTCCACTTAGTTTCACCCGACTCTACTGGCTTCCCATCACACAGAGGATACAGTTCGAGATCCTGATCCTCACCATCAAAGCCCTCCATGGTTTTGCTCCCCCCTACCTCTGCGACCTCCTAACCCCCTACCATTCTGCCCACTTCCTCCACTCAGCGGGCTCGGCCTGCTTCACGCCCCCCACCTTGCTCGCCCCACTATTGACGGGCGGGCCTTCTGCTACTCTGCCCCCACCCTCTGGAACTCCATCCTGCAGTCCCTCTGCCTTGCCCCCTCCCTTGCCACCTTCAAGACCCATCTCAAGACCCTCCTCTTCGACCGTCTTTTGATCTCCCTGATTCCGCCTTCTACCCTCCACACTCCCCGACCCCCAACTCGGGTCCGAAACTCTATCTGTCCAGCACCTTGGGACATCCTCCTGACATGAAAGGAGCTTTACAAAAGTAATTTTCTTGTTGTTCTTCATGTCTCCCCACCCAATCCTCTATCAGTGGGCAAACTTACAGCTATTCTGAAACTCCATCCTGGAGTCCCTCTCCCTAGCCCCTCCTTCCTGTCTTCCAAACCCACCATAAGATCTGCATTTTCGACTCTTTGTGTTCAGCCTGCCCCACATCGGGGACTTGGAATCACTTAGTCTAAGTTAACACACTCCAATGCAGTGCTGGAGGGGTGTTGCATTGTCAGAAATGCCGTCCTTCAGTTGAGACGTTAAACCTAGGTCCTATCTGCCTATTCAGGTGGACATTAAAGATCCCAAGGCACTTTTTGAAAAGAGAAGTGAGTTTTTCCCAGTGTCCTGCCCAACAATCCTCCAAATAAAATTGGTCACTCACTCCCTGACTATTTGTGGGACATTGCTGTGCACAACTGAGCATTTCACTCACAAAATGCACAGTCTATCCACTTTACAATGCATCCTGTAACACGCTTTGAGATGTCTCAATGATACGAAAGACACTGTATCAAATGCAAGAATCATTTTTATAATAATTATTATTACTTTCGCTTGCACTCCAAACTTGAAAGATTCTATATAATTATATTAAATTGTAAATCGTTCTTGTTGATACCCTTTATGAACTGCAATAATATTTTCCATGTTGAAGTATATTTCTCTCAAAACAAAACAATGTTTCAAAAAAAATTCTAAATTAGTTAAGAATTCTCTTTCCTGGGTCTACTTTATTTATTTGCAATATTTCTTCAGCACAGAAACATTCTGTGTATCTTTACATTTGTCTGATTCTACTTCATAATATAATACTCAACAACAAAAAGTACACCACGAACCACTCTTACACATTACCTGATTAATCAATGAACCAAACTGCTCCATTTAGTATTGTGTTACTATCCTCTCTGGTTTCGTGTGTTTGATAAACAGCAGGTGCCCAAATCTTTATTCCATTCATTAACTGTGGTTTCAAAGAGGCGACATGACCATTTGGCAATAAAACAATTTGAATGTTGTACAGTATATAATTCATTGCATCTGGAATCAAGATTTATTCCCAAATTAGATTTATGGGATGAAACATTCTCGTATCTGTCATCCAGCCTAAGTTAGGGTCCCACAGAATCGAGTCTGAGACACAAAAATTTCCCGCTCAATTAACACTAATTTAGCAAACTTCTTCCAAAAAGTAGAGATGCAAAGACAGTGCATACGGGAAAATGAGAAAATCACAATACCACGCCAATGCAGAACCATGATTCCATAATTGGGGGCACCCAGCATGATGTCCCACCATTTAGCCCAGTGTTCATGCTGAGTGGCTAGAAAAAAATGGTAGTAGTAACCCCCTTGCAGCTTGCTGCTTCCAGCAGTGGCTACCAGAAGACCAGGGATAATATCTATTTCAAGGTGGTTCCTTGGCAGCAGTTGTGCAGCCTCATTTTATTTTGCAGCTCAAGGGTATAAACCAGTCTATCGGTTTGGTTATTATTGTACCAGAATATCAGTAATCTTGCTGAGACACATGTCATAATGCAGCGATGATGAAATAATAACGTTAATGTCCCAAAATGAGCAACTGAACTAATATGTGAGCTTACACCCCTGAGCTGTAAAGAGAAACTGCAAACACTGGGAATGCTTACAACAGAGAAAATTAAGGGCTAATCACAATGAATTTTCCTGATACTAATAAAAAATGATGAGGTGGACCCCTGTAATATGCTTGATAATAGTCAAGCAGTCCCCAACAAGTGATCAAAATCCCAAGCTTAGACAAGGGAAAATGAGCCGTTTAGCTTAACTACATTTTGCAAAGGGTGGTGAACATGCAAAGCATTTACCAAGGATGTCATTTGAAAAGAAGTGTTGACAGTTTTAAGAGATTGTTGATGGT